CGCAGATGGAGGGCAGATGACAGCTGGTGGGGTGGGAGGTTAGGGAGCGTAGGGGAGAAATGGAAAGATCAGATCAAACTCATGCCACTAGAGACAGTCAAGCTGAACAACAAACACCTCCTCCGTATTTTTCTCTCAAGTGCAGGTGTGGGATCACAGGGAGGGGCAAAAGTAGGTTGGTGAGTACAGGGAACACAGAGCTTATTGTCGCATTATTATTTATTAATTAATGTCTACTTTCTATACAAACAACTGGAAACCTATTTTACCCACTCTGAATGGCTGTCCTTGCCTTGAAAGCAAAAACAAATAGTCCCCATTTCCATTTATTAAAGGAGATAGTGTTTATTAAAGAAGGTCAATTAATAAATGCACCACATTCTGAAATGTTCTTATGCTGAAGGTTGGAAGATGACAGTAAATACTGTTATATATAAATATAGACAATTAACCATCACCCTATGCAAGATGAAAAATTCCTCAGAAGAGGGGTTGTTATTTTTAATTTTCAGGTCTCTTCAATCTGTGGATGCCGTGGGTAATCTGGGACGAGGCTCAAGTGAATGTAGCCCGCTAGCCAAAATGAATGCAGTCGAGTGACCAGCTGCAGGGCTATGACTTGGGGCAGTATTAGGGATTAATCTGAGATGCAGCTTCAGCTCTCAAGTTTCATCAAGGGCTTGGAATGTACTCCAGGGTGTGTTCAGAGCCAGGCAGGAATGATGTCACATACTAATTTCAGAAATAACAAGGATTGAGTGACTCATGACATGTTATTAATCCCACCCCCTAAAATCCCCTGGCCCCAGAAGTTGTATTTATTTGATCTAACCAAATGGAAATATAATGGGGGTATGGAATATAAGAATGAGGAGTTAAGAACTTTAAGAGAAAAAAATAGCTTTGAGGTTTTAGGCAGAAATGGAGATATAATGGAGAATATTAATATCCATATTGGGAAAAAAGCCTCCATAAGTGAAGGAAAACACATAGAGAACCTAATATGCATTCCAAAGAAGAGTACAATTATAGAAATATGTGAGTTTTCTCAAAATATGCTTTTTTTGGGAGACTTCCATTTCTGAAAAGATTATTCATTGTAAGAATGAACAAATTTGCTTCAGAGAGATTATGTTGGGTTTAGGTGTTGGACAGTAAAACAACACACACCCATATGCCTCCCATTCTTTCTTTTCTTTCTTTCTTTTCAGAATCCTTTCCATCTCACAAACAAAACCCTAGGCTTGAAAGACATGCCTTACCATGTCTTTCAAAACGTTGACAGATCAAGATTTTAAAAGTACATTAATTTTCTTCTATTTGTTCTTTGAATGATTTAAAAATTGCAAGTAAATCCAAACAAATGTTCCTAGAATGTTTGTTACAATGTAGCCTCCCCTTAAATTTATTTTTTTAATGATATATTTTTTAAATATTTATTTATTTATTTATCTTTAGAGGGGAAGGAGAGGGGGAGAGAAACATCAATGTATGGTTGCCTCTAGTGCGTCCCCTGCTGGGAACTGGCCTGCAGGGAACTGGCTTGCAACCCAGGCATGTGCCCTGACTGGGAATTGAACTGCGATCCTCTGGTTCGCAGATCTGCACTCAGTCCACTGAGCTATACCAGCCAGGGCGCCTCCCCTTAAATTTAAGAATAATGTGTAAATGATTATCTTTTTCACTTCACTCCAACTCTCCTTTTTCCCTTTATGCAGCAAAGACTGTTGGTACAACAAACTTTGAGGCGATTGTGAATGGCAAATTGATTATTTAGCATCAGGAATCCTCTAGATTATTTGGTCAGCATTTCTGCTTTTGCAAACACATTTGTGTGTTTAAGATGCCCTATTTTTCCAGCAGAGAAAATCGATTATGCAAACCAACTTAATCACTGTTTCAGTGCATTTACTAGGGCTCTGTAGAACTTAAGAATGCCGTTCTGTCCTGACCTGTGATGGCTTAGTTGGTTGGGCACCATCCCAGAGTGAAACAACCAGTTTGATCCAGGTCAGGAGACATGCCTGGGTTGTGTATGAAGACAGCTGATCAATGTTTCTCTCCCTCCCTTCCTCCCTCCCTTCCCCTCTCGCTAAAAATAAATAAATAAAATTTTTAAAAAATAAAAAGAATGCAACTAGTTGGTGAAAGACAAATACCATGTGATCTCACCTATAACAGGAATCTTATGAGCAAAATAAACTAACAAACAAAATAGAACCACAGGCATGGAAACATGGAATAGACTGACAGTGACCGGAAGAGAGGGGGAGGGGGATAATGGTGGAAAGAAGGGGAAGGGACTAGACAAAGAACATGTATGAATGACCCACGGACAGGGACAACAGTGTGGGGACTGACTGGGAGTTGGGGGAGGGATGGGTGGAGAAGGGCAAGGGCGAAAATTGGGACAACTATGATAGAATAACAACTTTTTTAAAATCTTAAGAAAAAAAAGAATGCCATCCTTTTGTTATACAAATGATTGGGTGTTGTAATATCCATCTTTGTTTGTTTGTTTCCTGTCTCCACAAGGCAGATTTTGTCCATTTCAGTGTCATTTTAACAGTTTTCATTAATATGTCATCATTAAACTCTATTTGAAAAGATAATGGAGGCTTATAGAGTATAAATCAGAGAAAATCTTTAATGTGGAAAACCAAAGACTTCCATTTGTGTGTTGATAGTGGGCTTATCTTGAAAGTTATTTATTATTAATCTTATAAAAATAATTTATCAAGAAGTTAGTGCCTTCAATTTTCTTAGGTGAAACAAGAATAGCTTGGCTTCCATTCCTGTCAGGATTCTCAGGTGCCTTGATTATTACAATCCTCATCATTTCATAAGAGTATGTTGGTTCTGACAAAGGTTTTTAATTTGAAGTTTATCTATTTTTTGTTGTTGCTTGTACTTTTTGTCTCTTATCTATAAAACCATTGCCTAATCCAAGTCATAAAGATTTATCCCTATGTTTTCTTTTAAGAGTTTTATAGTTTTTATAAAAACTATTTAAGCATAGTTTTTTATAAAAGCTTACATTTGGAAAGAAGCTTACCCTGACTGGTGTGGCTCAGTTGTTTGGGCATTGTCCCACAACGCGAAAGGTCACTGGTTCAAATCCTCCTCAGGGCACATGCCTGGGTTGCAGGTTTGGTCTCCCATCAGGGTGCATGTGAGAGGTAACAGTTTGTAGTTTCTCTCTCACATCAATTTTTCTCTCTCCCTTTCTCTCTCCCTCCACTCCCTTCTCTCTAAACATAAATAAAATATTTTTTAAGAAAGAAGCTTAATTTGTCTTGAGTTAATTTTTCTGAATATGATGTGAGATAGAGGTCTAACTTCATTATTTTACATGTGGTCAGCCAGTTGCCCCAACACAATTTATTTAAAAAATGATTTTTTCTGTAGTGTTTCATCTTGGCACCCTCGTTATAAGTCAATAGACCATAAATGTGAGGGTTTATTTCTGCACCCTCAATTCTATTCCAGTGTTCCATATGACTATCCTTATGCCAGTACATGGTCTTGGTTATTATATCTTTGTAGTTAAGTTTGGAAATTGGGAAGTGTGGGTCCTCCAACTTTGTTCTTATTTTTGAAGATTGTTTTGGCTAGTCTGGGTCTTTTTTATTTTCATACTAGTTTTTGGATTAGCTTGTCAATTTGTGCCAAAAAGCCAGCTAGGATTTTGATAGAAATGGTCAACAGAATGTACAGAAGACACTTCTGGCAGCCACAAGAGAGTTTTATTCATACATGGCTTGCAGAAGGGCCTTTAGCATAGACCAAAGTACCTTCTAAAAAGGAAGAAGAGGCCATAGCATTTAAGGGCAGTGGCACAGAGAGCCGATCTCTAACAGGATTGGTTGGGATGAGCATCAGAACTGTGAGTATGTGCAAGCAGGAAGGAGGTTGGTTGGGGCTATAGGGCACCTTCAGTTTCTGACTCATGGTCAGTGGGTAAAGTTGTGAATATGGCCAAGATTGGAGTCACAAGGTATGGTCAGCAGGAGTGAGGTCACAAGGCATGGACCAATGCCTCAGGTTCCCTTTGAGTCTTCAAAATAAACTGATAAAACAAGTCTTGAGATTAAACCAACAATGTACGGAATGCAGTTCCCCACATGAACAGCCAGAGTTCAAAGTGCCGAACTGTTTAGTGACTCAAGCAGGGCCAGAGATCAAATTGCAGGAAGGTCTAGATAGTTGGGCACAAAGTTATGATATTAGAATCCCCAGAATTGCACTTTAGGTCACTTTGGAGAGTAGTACTATCCTAACAATATTAAGTCTTCCACTCCATGAACATGGGATGACTTTTATATATTTAGATTGTGCTTAATTTTTCAACGATGTTTTATAATTATTCAAGTATAAGTTTTTTTTACCTCTTTTGGCAAATTTAAATTTATTCCTATAAAAGGGTGCTTTTGAAAAGAGAATATTCAGTTTTTTCTAAGCACTTGAGCCTTGGACAAGCATGACAGAGAGTTGACTTATGTAATAAAATAACCTGTTAAGAGTACTCCCTCAGAATTAAAAGGCTGAGTATTGAAGATAGAATCCTGGGTCTCCCATTTACCTGCTTCTGAAACTTGAGTAAATAAACTCTTCAATGCCATTTTCATTATCTGAAAATAAACTTGTTAAAGGTAGTTATCCCAAGAGATTTTCGTGAAAATGAAGCACAGCAATGTATGTGGTTCAAAGAACTATACTTGGTACACGGTAAGCAATTAATGAAGTTGAGCTATTGTTATTGTAACAATGCTTTCTTTCTAACATTCCCTCCTCCCCCAAACCACTGCTAGGGAGTCACAGTTGCGTTAACGATGACCCCACAACCTTTTGGTAGGTTGAGGCAGAAAAAAAGCTGAGCACAACTAGTCGATCTCTTAAATACTTTGTTTTCCCATTATTGTGTAGAGCATTTCCAGGAAGCCACCAGTGTCTTCCTTACCTCATGGGACTTTGGGCTCCATTTTGTTGGTGTTTTACAGCTGGCCAGCTGGCTGGAAACTCCTCCGTTGAGATGTATCGTCAAGTACTCCTGTCTGGTTGTCGCTGTGTGGAGCTGGACTGCTGGAAAGGACGGACCGCAGAAGAGGAACCAGTCATCACCCATGGGTTCACCATGACAACGGAAATATCCTTTAAGGTAGAGGGTATGAATATTGCTGAGAGAGGGAACTGGGGAGGTAAATCCTACTAAGGAAGGAAGTCCCGATGGTTACAATTAAGTCCATAAGCCATTAATCATCTTTGCCATTTCAGAGGCTAAAGTTCAGCTGTTTATTCATGGGTAATTGGCATCAGGTAAATCGATTTATAGTTACCAATTCTAAACAAACTATCCTATGAAAGGAAATGCCAATTTATTTTCTATTAGCACTCATTCTTTTTTCTTGCATTTTATCATTGTGAAATATAACATAAATAATGCATAACAAAGAATACATGCAACTTGTACAGTTTAATGAATGGGTATAAGGTTTTAACCCTTGTAACTACCACCTAAATTATGAAACAGGAAATTACACGCCAGAACCACCCTATGTAGCCATTTCAGTCAGAATGACCTCCTTACTCCCAGAATAGACTACTTTCCAGACCAGTACAATGATGACCGTTTTTTTTCTTAAAAGCTAGATTAAGAAAAAAGGGTCAGTACTAGCTTATGTACAGCCCTAAACAATGTAGTTTTACCAACTTTTAAACATGATGTTAATGGACTCTAGTGTGCATTATTTTGTGGGGTTTTTTTTTTTTGCTTTTTTTCACTCCATCATTGGGACATTCATCAATATTATTGCATGTATCCCTAGCTGTTTGCTTTCTAGATGATGATGATGTTAATGACCATTGTTAATTATCATATAACATTTCATTCTGTGATGCTAGAATGGAATGTGCCAGCTTTTGGCACACTGATGCCTAGGAGTCAGAGACCCCTGGGAACACACCTGCAGTCAAAGTTGGATTTATTGGCTTATGTAACCAGAAAGCACATGTATCATGGGAACGGTAGTGTCTCAGTAAGAGTGTTAAGAAGACTTAGAGGGTCTGGACATGCATTAGGCGATCTGAGGTTGGGAGGAACCAAGGAAACAGGGTTTTTCTATGGATTGGATGCTGTCAAGAAGCAGAAATAATTTTATGATTAGGTATTTTAATAAAGCTGTCTAGGAGGCAAGATTAAACAGTAACTTCTAAGAATATCAACTATTCTTATTAGCCAGGAACAGTCATCTCCCTTCTCTTTCCATTTAGGGCTCCATCCTATACCATAAAAAGCCCCACATTTGTGCATTTGGACACCCAAGCCCAAATATCCAAGTTCTATTTATATCTCCTGCAAAGAGCTATCCTTAGGAGCATGGGGCCATCTGAGTGAGGACATCTAGGGTTTTAGGAAACCAGAAAATGACCTAGAAAGGTGATATGTAGACTTTACATGATTTCTTATATGACTTGGATTTCTCACCTCTTTGGAAAGGAATTGACCGAGAAGGGCCAGAAGATAACCTTTAGAGCATAGGTCTCATGGTATGAGGCCCATTACCTGGGTTGCCTGGTTCTCAGGGCAGAATTGACTCTGGGTCACTAACTCTTGCCCTCAGCAACCAAAAAACAGAACCCAAGAATTTGGGTAAGTAAGGTAGTGTGGGGACAGGCAGTTGAAAATGTGGAGGTCAGCATGTTGAGCAGCCAAAGTATTGGATGAATTAGATGTTTATATCACCAAGATTGGTGACAAAGCTTTGGATGATGAAGAGGACAGTGAACCATGTGCCAAAGTCTTTGCCGAGGCAGGGGAGCTCTGATATGAGGAAGTGGTAAAAGCTGGTTTGGATGCTTCATGAGAACTGGCTTTTGTTTTGTTTTAAAATAAGATTGAAAAGTAATCTTTCAGAAGGAGTGTAATTGAGCAAACTATGGCCTATGCACATGGTGCTTTGATTCATGACTGAAGAATTAGTGTTGGAAAAAACCAGGTTTTTATTACAGGGATGAAACCTTGTGGGGGGGGTGGGCTGGGAGCACTTCAGCTCCGAGCCCCGTTCTCCCATGAGACCCAGTACTTCCCTTGCTATAAACCAGGCTATAGACCAAAAACAAGCCCAGTAGTTCCCCATATCCTTATTTTAAGTTGGATGCACAAACACTTCTCCACTCCCTCTGGAAAGTACACTTTTGGATTTCAAAGTCCATCTTACTGCAGCAGCTTTTTCCTTTATGATTTGGAGTATGTTGTTCTTAACCTCCATAGAATAGTTCAGGAAAACATGTACCTTGTTGCACTGGATTATGGTGGAGCCCGGAAAGGCACAAGTTCCCAGACAGTGGCCTCTCTATGTGTCCCAAGTCCCAAGAGTCCAGGTAGAGTCTGGGTCTGCGAGGCAGCCAGGTCAGCATCTTGCATGGCAGAGTCCTCGGTGGCTTTGGAGTCAGCTGGAGTAAGCATGATTAGAGCAGCAGCATGACTTCTTCCTTATAACACCAGGCTGCATGACGGAATTCTGACTATAAACTACATGGCTGCTACACTATTATAAACAGCATGGCTGACTCCTTCATTACAAACTGAAGGCCACATGGCTGAATTCTCTTCTGGCTCATGGCTTCTTCCTTATGACTCCTCATCCTCCTCCTTCCTTTTCCTTACTTTTCCCACGTGACTCACCCCCATGGCAGACCAGCTCTTCTACATACATCCTAGCAACTAGGTCATGGCTCTCCTACCTCATGGCTGCCCATCCTTCTTTTAAGACCTAGAGTTTCCTGCATGATTTTCTGTTTGGCTTCTTCCACAATGAGCTACATTTGCCAGTTTCTCATATCTTCTACCTTCTCTTGGCTGCCATCTTCAGTCGGGGCAAGAGTGACTCAGTGACACATGGGCCTCTGTCTTCCTGCCTCTCATGCAGGCACTGACAAACTCTCAGCTACATCATGAGTCCCTGAATACTCTAGAAGTCACGTATGTCTTCTCCCCAGGTGGTAGCACAGCTATTATCCAGCTACCAACTTGCCATAGTTGTGCAAAGTATCTTCAGCGCCGTATCTTTCCACTTCCCCTCCCTCCAACCAAAGGCTATGGGGTTTATTTTAGGATCTCTCCCTTGGTTTGCACACCATTTCAGTAGCATAAGTAGCAACAAATTCCCAATCTTGGGCTTTTAGTCCTGGGGCACTTGCGATGTGATAAAATAAACAGCTATCACTTGAGAGAACCGCAAGAGAGATAAAAGATTGTTAAGGAACAGTCACGTTTCAGGTGAGGTAAATGAAGGTCCTGACCAAGGGCACTAAGTTTGACAGCAATAAAAATGTGTTTGGAGATTATATCACTATCACCTTAAAAAGTGTTTGGTACATTGTGTTTAGGAAATCTCACTTTTCATGATTTCTTAAACTCAAGCTACAATATAATAATTAGAGAAAAATAGCACTCTTCACAAAATTTACAAGAGTTTAACGTGGGGTTGACCTTAATTCTGATCAAAATCTTCAAAAGTTGCTTCTGTTCCTGAAACTGAGAACTCTTAAGGTCTTTTGGTTTTCTTTAATGGAAAATCAATATTTTTTGTTTCGTTTTTATAGTCTCCCACCTCCTAGCTCCTGACATTGTGCTTTGCCAAATGTCTAAGATCCCACCCCTAATCTGGTTGGACTCTTTAAGAAAAAGTGGGGAACAGATGCCGCTGGTGTGGGGTGAATGCAAGTTGGGCCCATCCATCTGCTGATGGATGGAGATGACCCTGATGGAACCATTACTGAGCTAAGGGCCCTGTGCCTGGATCCACTGCCAGGAGGGCCCTTGCCACTGTCCCTTCATGTGAGTTCCCTTTTTTTATTAAGGAAATGATATTTTCTTAAAAATATATAATCCTCAAGGTCCTTTGGATCCCTTCTAAGGCATATTTATTTCATGTGGAGCATTGACAAAAAGTCCTCAGCCATCACGTTACTTTAGAGTGACTTCCCTGTGCACTTGACCATACAAGCGGTTCTTCAATCTCATCTGCAAGCCCAGGTGGAATGTCTACTCCTGAGCTCCAGAAGCACAGCTTCTCAACTACATTCACACACTTGCTGAAAGATTTAGGAATTAGAAGGCCAAATCTAGCCCAGAATGGGCTGCTTCCTCTCTCTCCCTGCTGGAGTTTGGGGTATGTGGTGGCCAAAGAGAACAGCAGATCCATCTCCCCGATGGTGGGTTTGTCAGCCATGCTTCCTGCTGATGTGTGTTTTGAGGATAGATTATTCTCGCAGAGATATGGTGGTGATGAAGGGCAAGAATGAGTGCCACGTATGGAAACACCAGCCTGTTTTGTGAACAAATAGGGCAAGATTCTCTATATCAGGACCAGGACAAGGGCAAGGCAAGTGAGGCACTTCATGTGCAAAAATTGAGGAGGTGCTTACTCTGTGTCAAATGCAGAGCTGACACCTGAGAATGTGTACAGGGACTTTGTAATAAAGGTAAGAAGAGAAATGGACAAGACCCTATGTCATCTATCCCCCCCTCACTCACTCACCTACAACTTCACTGGCCTCCTTGCTTGCTGTTCCTTGATACCTTTGGCATAGATCATTCACAGTGCCTGGAATGCTCTTCCCCCAGGTATCTGCATGGGTCACCTCTAACCTCCTTGAAGCCTTTCTCAAATGACACCTTCTCAGTGGGGCTACTGGGACCAGCCACCATGCCCACTCTGACACTCCTGGTACAAACCCCACTACTTCTTCATTTTTTCTTTAAACCAACATCTGTTTTTGTTTAAAGATTTTATTGATTTATTTTTAGAGAGAGGAGAAGGGAGAAAGAAGCAGAGGGAGAGAAACATCAATGTGTGTTTGCCTCTCACATACCTTCTACTGGGAACCTGGCCTACACCCCAGTCATGCACCCTGACTAGGAATTGAACTTGTGACCCTTTGGTTCTCAGGCTGGCACTCAATCCACTGAGCCACACCAGACAGGACTCTTTTTTTTTTCTATTTACCAGCTGGCACTTGTCACCTGGTACCACTGTGTTTAATTTGCTTAAGTATTATGTTCCTTGTTTACTGTCTGCTGTCTTCCACCGGCATGTAAGCTTCACAAAGACAAGGATCTTTGTTTTGTTCCCTCATCTCTACCATGTACCTTGA